ACTGGGCAATTTATAAAGGAAAGAGGTTTAATTGACTCAGTTCTGCATGGCTGAGGAGGCCTCATAATCATGGCAGAAGAATAAGGAAGAGCAACGAGACATCTTACATGGCAGCAGGCAAGAGGGCCTGTGAAGGGGAACCCCCCTTTATAAAACCATCAGATCTTGTGAGACTTATTCACTATCATGAGAACAGCACAGGAAAGACCCACCCCCATGATTCAGTTACCTCCCACTGGGCCCCTCCCATGACATGTGGGAATTATGGGAGCTACAATTTTAGATTTGGGTGGGGACACAGGCAAACCGTATCAGTGTCCATGCATATACAACTTGGAAGTGTGGAGGAATCAATGTCCCATAGAGTAAGCCTTTGCAAATGGAAACTGACATGAGTAGATCAATATATCTCGTTTCCGCATGGTCCTGAGAAGCAATTGTTTATATTGCAGCTTCTCAGAAACTGGTGGACCTACAAGATCTGGCAATCAGTCATATCTGCTGCTATGTAGAGGCAGGTAGGATATTGTACTATCTTTTTGGCTCTTTTGTCTCCTGCTCCTCTTGACTTTCCCCTATTCTTGTTCCCTTTAGGGGATCCCAGGGTAAGATTACCCCTCCTCCCTGCCACCCCTTATTTGACTTTACCATCTCCTAAAATAAACACCAATTGCAAAAATATGTCACATATATGAAAAAGACTTGGGGTTTTGATGGTAAGTTAAATGTGAGGAAGAGAAGGATATGACTACATTCAAAAAAACCTCAACTCAAAATTAGACTACCTTTAACAAAGGAGACACTACAGGATTTGCTTAAATTCCTGCAGTTAATAAGAAGTGGCAGTTATATTTAAACTTCCCTCGTCTGAGTCTATAACACATGCTATGATCCTCTACATTATACGGAAGGAATTAAAATCTGTTTCACAAAATAAATGAATAAAGTATTAGAAATCTTCATCGTAAAAGAAACTCATCCTTTGGTGGTATATGAAGGTTGTCTTCAAGAAAATAAAATACTGTTATTTGGAAGATTTGAACTTATTACATGATTCTAATGAGAAAGATTAAGAGGAATAAGCAGAATAAAAACAGCAACCCAGCTAGGACAAGAAAAATGTAAAAAACTGTATATGCCAGTCACGTGCTGTCAAATGCTTTATAGACATCCTCATTTATATTCACAACATCCCTGTAAAATGCTTACTGCTACCATTTCCATTTTAAAGACTGGAACACTGAGGTGTGGACAGATTGAGCAGTTTGGCAAAGGCCTGGTTATCAAGGAAGTGGTGGAGCTAGGATCAGAACCCAGGTCAGTAGGACATCGAAACCCTTGTGCTTAATCACTATGGTATCTTCTCACTGCAGAGATGCAGCATGAGCTCAGTGTTAGAAAGGAAATTTAATAATCAGGGGTCTTAAATATATAATCAGCTACCCCTGTGGGGGTGAATTCCCTGTCTGCAGTGATCCCACAGCTGACCTGCTAGGTGTGATGGGGTTGATTCTCTTAAATGGAGACAAGGCAGACACATCATCAGCTCTGTTAATTCCTCCACATAAGTAGAGGTGGAGGGCAGGAGGCAGGCAGAACAGGATCCAAGGGAAGCAAAGCTGGTTTGGATAGCATCCAGGGGTCATTGAACAGAGGCATTGAAGGCTCGTATTAAAGTTGGGGCTGGAGTGGACTCAGAATTTGGCAAGATGGAACATGGCGATGGAAACGGATATGTTGCAGTAAGGATCCAAAAAGGCCTGATTATCGAATGGGAAGAGCCACTGTGTTTTTAGTCAGCATTCAGTACTTCTCAGACCAGCCTTTACCCCTTAAAAAGACCATAATGGAGTTGGCCTTACCAGGTTTCCAGAATGGCCTGGATATTCACATAGGGAGATATTGCAGAGGGAATTCATGCTTTACCAAGAGCTAGGCTGCATGACCTTCAAACCTTAAAACGCAGGAAGTCCAACTAATTTGGGAAGGCTAGTAAGGGCTGGACCACTGGGAGGAACTGCTCTAAGATATAACAGTTTTTTATGGTAACCCAAGAAGTTGACAACACCAACCTGGATTAGTTAGTAGCTGATTACCAGCAAAATCATTGTTTCATAATACATTGCTAGTAAGATCTGGGAATAAAGAAAAATGTTGGCTCTGGTTTGAATCACACTAGACTTCTGACTCCATTCAAATCTTTTTAATGAATGCATTTAGGATAATCCCTTTAATTCTTCCCTCAGTACTTCTCCAATCAGGGAACACATGGAACTCCCATTAACTATCCTGAACAGTTGTTCATGCCCAGATACAGGGAAGTCAGCCTAGAAGCACTGACAACAGTTTGCACAAAGTGGCATAAGACAGTGTGACTCATGCATAGCAGGCACATTTGGAATGCAGAAAATCACAATGCATGTAGTCCTACAGTCACCAAGAATTCCTTATCATTTCTTAAGGCAAGCTTCTCTTGTCTTTTCTCAATTATGCTTCATGTGCACTTAACTCAAAATTTAATTGAATTGGTTGCTTCACAGATGGGCTTAAAGGATGTTTTAATTTCTAAGCAGAGACAAAAGAAAGACTGGTATTCATTCTCAAGTTAAGAAGCCATTAGGAAGGAGGAGGTTTTAGGGGGTTTGAAAGAGTTTAACCACCTTTGAAGGGAAGTGGCATGTTTTCGGAACATCAGGAGGATTTAGTTCTTAGTAAGGAGACAAGGAAGGGCAACTGGAGATGGATTGTAGATCAAGTCTGTCTAGGGCTAAAGGAAGGTGAGGTACTTGTCCGCCAGGGCTGCGTCTCTCAGTACTGCTAGTAAGAGTTACAGGGTTATGAAAGGAAGAAGGTATCTTGGCGGAAGAAGGGAGGTGAAAGCCCAGTAGGAAAAAGTGAGAAGCATCAGGCAGGACTGAGGAAACTGGCAAGAGATAAAGTCAGCTTGCTTCCTCCTGCATCCAGATCCCCTGGAACACAATTAATTATGTCTAAATTAATCCTTATACTAACTCAACACTATTCCCAACCCCAATCCCAACCCAAATACTAACTTAATGGAAGGTCAGTAATCTAGGGGGTTGATATAGTTTGAATATATGTCCCTGCCAAATCTCATGTTGAATTGTAATCCCCAAGGGTGGAAGTAGGGTCATGGGGCAGGTCCCTAATGGCTTAGTGCTGTCCTCATGACTGTGAGTTCTAATGACATATGGCTGTTTAAGTATGTGGCATCTTCCCACTACTCTCTCTCTTGCCCCTGCATTCCCCATGTAAACTGCTTCCTCCCACTTCATCCTCTACCATGAGGAAAAGTGCCCTGAGGCCTTCCCAGGAGCCAAGTGGATGCTAGCACCGTGCTTCCTGTACGGGCTGCAGAAATGTGAGCCAATAAAATGTCTTTATACATTACTCAGTCTCAGGTAATTCTTTATAACAATGCAAGAATGGCCTAACACAGGGATGGAAATCCAGAAAGATCTTAAATAATTGTCCTAAAATGATTTTTAAAGTGCTATCGGTCTATGAAATTATGTTGAAAAATGATTTGCATTGGGTTAAATGATCTCTAGGAGTTATTTAACTCTCATATCAGGTGAGAATTTTACAGGTGAAGAGTCTGAGGCTCAGAGAGGGTGCATAACATGGTGATCATAGGGCTTGCATGTAGGGGTGAGCTGGGCTAGGGACTGAGCTCACAGAGTCTAATTCCAGGGCAGCTGGTAAGGACATGACTGAAGGCCTGAAAGGTGCCCTCCGAAATGCAACTGTACACTGAGAGCTTGCCAGTGTCCAAGTCCTGAGCTAAGAACTTCCTGCGCATGCTAGTTTAATTCTCATTACAATGTACTATGAGTTGGTATTGTATTAGTCTCCTTTGATGGATGAGGCTAAATTACTTGCTCACGATCACTTCATGCATAATCAGGGTGGGGTCTGGCACACAAACTCAGCATTGGTTGAGCCTAGAATTCCAATTACTCATCTACACACAAAAAAACTCTTTCATACTCTTGAAAAACCAGATGAGAACCACATGGACCAGATGGGAGGCGATGGATACCCATTTTATAGTTGCACTGGTTACATTGCAGGTAATCAATGAATATTTGATCCAAATGAGTCAAATCACAGGCAGAAAGACTTTGATTAGATACGAAGGTGAACATAAACCTGAATACTGGAACCAGTGGCCTGGGAAGCAACTTTTCCAAAACAAGAATAATCACATCAGCAGGCATAAGGGTTTTGGTGATCAATCTTATTAATTCATAACCCTGGCTGTATTTTATTGGTAGGGTTAGGGACGCTGCTATAGACTGAAGGTCTGTGTCCCTGAAAAATTCATATGATGAAATCTAACTCACACTGTGATGATTTCAGGAGTTGGGGCCTTCGGAAGATAATTAGATCACAAATGCAACAGCCTCATCAATGGAATTAGTGATATTATAAAACAGATCCAGAGAGCTTTCTTGTCCCTTCTACTATGTGAGGTCACAAGAAGATTCCATCTATGAACAGGAAAGTAGACCCTCACTAGAATGTGGTCACACTGGCACCCTGATCTCAGACTTCCTGCCTCCAGAACTATGAAAAATACATTTCTATTGTTTATAAGACACTCCACAAATGGTGTTCCATTATAGCAGCCTGAACCTACTAAGGCAGGCACTTAAAAAAAAAATAAAGTGACCTCACCAAGAACTGGTTAAATCAGAATCTCTGAGGATGAGGTCTGGATGAGGAACATTTAGAAAAAAATCTCCTCTGGTGACATTAATATGCAGCCTAAGGTCCTTTCAACCTTTTGGTGCCTTGAACACTCTTTGAAACATCTTAATTGTCCTGATTGTTTTTTGTTGCTAGATATCTCTCCCCTGCATCTGAAACTAAAGAATACTAAACCATACCACAAGCCTGTTTGCTTCTAACACGTACACTGAAGACCGAAGTTAACAAAACGCCGGTTCTCAAATTCTAGCAAGTCCTAGACTTACCTTGAGGGCTCCTTAAAGACAGATTGTGGTGCTCCCCCCCTACACCCAATGTCTGATTCAGTAGGTATAGGGAAGGGCCTGAGAATCTTCATTTCTCACAAGTTCCAGGTGATGTTGATGCTGCTGGCCCAGGGACCACACCTTGAGAATCACTTTCACAGAAGGCTTGAAGGGACAGGGATAAGAAAGAATAAAGTTGTTTTCTGTTATACTCTATGAGTCTAACTTATTCAAAGTAAAGTTTACAGCTAGTGGTGGAATTCCTGGGTCAGGGGAATCATTGACTGCTATCTTCTCATTTAATCCCTGTTTCTCTAGTCACTGCCATTTCAGTCTCCTGCCTTTCAGAAGTTTAGCCAGTTAGGTGCCAAAATTATAGGTCTTGATTTCCTGATTTGCCATAGACAAGTTTAGTTTGGCATCCTAGAGAGGTTGAAAATTTAGCCAAAATCGATCCGATTCTTTCATTTTCCAAAATCACTTGACAAAGTCCTCACTCTCAGGACTGGCTAGCTGGGAGTGGTGGCTGAGAATTGCTGAATCTCAGATGCACCGTATTACAGGCAAGGTAAGTTGTGTCTGTGTCAAGAAACTGAATAGCAGGGTGAGGACGAAGCAAAGCCAGCCGTGATCTGAGGTGCCATCAGAAAATTTTCAAAAAACCATCAAGGCTGGACTTAAGGGCTGGCACAGTAGGGCCCTCTACCATCTGGTCATGCAAAGCCAGGAAGATCTGGGGGGCGGTGGGAGCATCGGCTGCTTGTGTTAAGTGACTCTGTTTGCTCTAGGTATTTGTTTCACGTCACACCCCTAGACAGTCTTCTTTAACTTAAAAGATCCACCATGGTTCCTGACTAGCTTCTCTTAGAATCCTCCGATAGGAGTGAGAGTTAAAAGATGATGTTCTTTCCTTAGTGAAGTGAGTGTAAGCATTTAACTCCCCAAGTGGACAAAAAAATGAAATATTACCAACACCCCCAAAACCCACTTCTATCTCCTCCCAGAGACTATCCTTATCCACAGGGTAAGCTTACCCTGACTTCTAACGTTATAGATTGGTTTGCCTATGCTGCAACTTTATATAACTAGAAATATGCAGTAATTCAATTACGCCTGGCTTGACTTAATATTATGTTCATGAGATTTATTCATAAAAGTATCAGGAGTTTGTTTTCATTGTTCCATAGTATTTCAATGTATGTATTTATTTATCCATCCAATGTTTGAAAGACAGTTGAGGCCTGGCTCGGCGGCTCATGCCTGTAATCCCTGCACTTTGGGAGGCTGAGGCAAGTGGATCACCTGAGGTCAGGAGTTTGAGACCAGTCTGGCCAATATGATGAAAGCCTGTCTCTACTACAAATAAAAACAATTAACTGGATGTAGTGGCACGCACCTATAATCCCAGCCACTCAGGAGGCTGAGGCAGGAGAATCGCTTGAACCTGGGAGGTGGAGGTTGCAGTGAGCCGAAATCATGCCACTGCACTCCAGCCTGGGCAACAAGATCAAAACTCTGAAAAAAAAAAAAAGAAAGAGAGAGAGAGAAAGAAAGAAAAAGAAAAGAAAGAAAAGAAAGGAAAGACAGGAAAGAAAGGAAAGAAAAAGAAAAGAAAGAAAAGGAAGGAAGGAAGGAAGAAAGGAAGGAAGGAAGGAAGGAAGAAAGGAAGGAAGGAAGTTAGGCAGTTGCTAGTTTGGGGCTCTCAATAGTAACACAGTTTTAATTATTCCTGTGCGAGTACTTCGGTGACCATTGCAGGCAGTTGTGTTGAGTGTATACTTAGGAGTAGAACTGCTGGGTCATGGGACACGCTTATGTTCAGCTTTAATAGACACTACCAGACAATGTTCCCAGAGTGTATCAGTATGTGCTTCCAGATGTAGTACATGAGAGTTCCAGTTATTTCATGTTCATGCTAACACCTGGCAGAGCGATACTCTCTTATCTATGTGGGATACATTCCAAGATCCCTAGTAGATGCCTAAAACCATAGATAGGACCGAATCCTATTTATACTATTTTTTTTCCACACATACATACCTATGATAAAGTTCAATTTATAAATTAGGCAGAGTAAGAGATTAACAACAATAACTAATAAAATAGAACAATTATAACAATATGCTGTAATAAAAGTTTGTGTAAATGTGGTCCCCATTTCTCAAAATGTTTTATTGTATGTAATATTTTTGACCTGATGTTGACTGCAGATAACTAAAATCACAGAAAGTGAAACTAGGGATAAGGGACTACTGTGTTTTGTTTTGTTTTGTTTTGTTTTTTGTTTAAACCATGCTGGTGTGTGTGTAATAGTATCTCATTGTGATTTTAATTTGCATTTCCCTGATGACTAGTGATGTTGAACACTTTGTCATATATTTATTGCCATTTGACAATCTCTCTTTGATACATCCGGTTCAAGTTTTTTTTTTTTCTCATTTTTCAGTTGGGTTGTCTGGCTTTTTCTGATTGATTTGTAGGAATTCTTAATGTATTCTGAATTTGAACTCATTTTCATATATATATGATATACACGGTACAGAAGATTATATATAAACATTGTGGCTTGCCCTCTCACTGTCTTCATGGTGTCTTTTCACGAATGGTAAATATGCTTTTAAAGGATGTTTCCTCCCAAGCAGTCTCCTACAATTCTGGCAAACACAGAGAAAAAATTATTTGAACAAACGGAATAGTATGACTTTTTTTTTTTTTTTTGAAACAGAATCTTGCTCTGTCATCCAGGCTGGAGTGCAGTGGCGTGATTTTGGCTCATTGCAATCTCTGCCTCCCAGATTCAAGTGATTCTCCTGCCTCAGCCTCCCAAGTAGCTGGGATCACAGGCACATGCCATCACGCCTGGCTCACTTTTTTGTACTTTTGGTAGAGATGGGGTTTCGCTATATTGGCCAGGCTGGTCTCAAAGTCCTGACCTCGTGATCCACTCGCCTTGACCACCCAAAGTGCTGGGATTACAGGCGTGAGCCACCATGCCCGACCTCTGGTATGATTTTTGACAGTTTGAGTAGTAGTGAAATTAAAACCCTTTAACTGTCTGATGACCATGACCATATTTTTCTTCACTAAGTTATATGCTTGGGCCCCTGGGTACTCATTCTATATATACTACCTGCCCATCACAATCTCTTAAAAATGTTCAACTGTCAGTTGACTTTGGTAATATATCAAATACAAAATGACTTCTAGTTATTATTCAATCATCCCCATCTCACCAGTTCACACAGGGGACTACGGGAGGACTAGAAAAAGGAGAATGTTCGAATATAAACAAAGTGACTTCAAACGATAACTGGGAAAGCAGAAAAAGGAGGCGAGGTTTTATTCAGCTGAAAATTAGACTTTGAATGAAGTCTTTTGAGAATGTTGGTTAAGTATCCTCAGAGGCCAGTTTCTTTTGCACATTTATACAGAAGACAATTTACATAAGTAGAAGCTTGATATCAGAAGTAACCATAGAAACCTTGCCCTTCCATCGTATCGAGGGCATATATTTGTTCTCCATTTAGTGCAATCTCCCTACACACCAGATATGTGAAGCTTTCCATGTTGATGTATCATTTAATAAATGGATCAGAGTTGGAGGAAATGCTGGAGGAATTGTAAAGACAACTGGGAGAAGGGAGTGGAAGGAGATTGTTAAAATGAAGAAAACAAATCCTTAGGGGTTTTAATGGAAATTGGACCTGCCTAGGAAGTTACAGACCTAGTCTATGATGGCTAAGGTGTACAATTTTTACTGCCTAGAATTATGTAAACTCGGATTGAAAGGAAAAAAGTTATAAAGTAAGGGGTTTACCCCATAGCTGTATTATAATTAGTCTCTTAAAAATCCAATAAAGTGTGCTCTACTCTAGTCCTTGGGATCCTCTCTCTGGGAAACATGTGACATAGCAATCACATCAGGTATGTGCAGGTCTGAGGCTGACTTCTCCGTGGCTTGTTGACTGAGAGCAAAGGTGATTCATGGAATTGAGTGACCCTTTGGGTCCACTGCAACTCCCTATCCTGGGACCCTCCCAATTAGACTGCTTCTAGATTTTTCTGGGTTCCATTAGCTATAAACTTAAACCCAAAGTACATATTGATGGCATTAAAAAATTCATCCTCTTGTTCAAATGATTAAAATTAGTATCAGCAACATCATTATTCATTATTTAAGGCATTTATTTCCCCACTCTGAGTGCTTCCTCTGAAGTGATTTTTTTGCAGTGCTTACTCCATCCCACTGAGTCTCCGAGGGAAAGGAAAACCAAAGATCAATGCAGTCCAGCTGACCTGATAGGCCAATGCTTTGATTTGAAATGTGTTGAAATCACAAGGACAGAAGAGCAGAACATTATCATATTTCACTTAGGCATTCCATCAGCAAATATTCAATATGGCCAAGCAATGCATTTATAACCTTGTGGAGAAAACACTTAGATGATGTCATCAATAAATGAAGCCATGGAGCATATTTTCATTTCAGAAATTCTGTGTCTGGGATTAATGGGCCCATGACTTGTAGCCAAGTGGAGGATTCTGAAGACCAGCCTTCTAACATAGAAAACAGTCATTTTTATACAAATGCTGTCACAAAATGCTCACTCATTCTAATAAGGAATGAGTATGGATTTCCTAGTGTAAAATAGTATCTCGGTAAAAGACACCTTGAATATCAATTTTCAGAAAAGAAGGGAGAAAATTGCCTAATAAATAAAATTCCCCAGTCACTATAATCATTTAATATCTTTTATGCCAACTTATATCAAGGTTTATATACTCCTTTGAAAAATAAAATCTGTCTCCATGCACTAAATTGCTTAAAACATTGACCTTTCTGTTCTGTAAACATTCTCTGCAGTTGAAAACATATCCTGAATTTGCAAGTATGGCTTGTGGCAACTTTGTGATGTTGCTTATTAGAAATGCTTGTTGCTTTTGTGGTTATTGTACAAGGAAATTGGGTTTCTAGCTAACATTTCTCCCTAATAGACGCCTACAGTAAAGCTTCAATTGTGAATACTTTCCTTACAATTTTTCATGTATAATTTTGCAGTAAATTTTATTTGTGGGTAATGTAACTGCTTCTCTCAGAGAAAATTTGCTGATTATACACATTCTTTCCACCTTCCCTTCCTATAAAAAGGGAGGATAAATGTAAA